TGTCGAACGTACGAATTATCCACTGTATACATTTTGATCGTCTTTTTTTTTGTAATTTGTTTTCAAATGTTCTTTTATTCAGTTTGTAACAAAATATTGATTACTAAACAATTTTGATTAAAAAAAACACAGAAAACTAAAACCACTGATTTTATTTAAACAATTATTAACAAATTACCAATGTTGCTGTCACAATTAGTAAAAACACACACACAAAACTGATATGAAAAATAAATAATTTTTTTCTTATGGGAATCTTCAGCTGCTGCACTATTGGCACTTACCGAAGCACAGGTATATCTCGTTTTGCTGGTCCATTTAAGGCGATCGTCACTCGTCTTTATATATAAACATTTACATGTAAAAGATGCAATCCAATGTACAGTTTCACTTGTATACGAAACGCGACTTGGAAGTGTTTACATCGGCGAAATGACTTTCGCCAACTGAACAATATATTTGGCGTTTCCGAACTCTCGACGTCGTTCCACCACTTCCACTCACCATCTCGCTTTTGCTTATATCACACTTAACGAAGCCGATTTTCGACGATCAGCTTAATATGATTACAGTGGAACCTCGATTAACGAGCATAATCCGTATCAAAATTTCCAGATTTTTAATGATTTTGCTTTTCATATCTATGGTTATTTATAATCTTTGGCTTTCTATTCGGAGACATATAAGTGTTATTAAATTTTGCACACAAAAAATCACAAATAACATATAACATACAAAATAAAGTAGAACTTGCCATATAATTATTTTAAAATAATAAAATCATACCTCGATAATAGAATGTTTCAGGTAAAAATAGAAGACGAATACACCGATTTATATCCAACAGAATCAGGGGTGCCGCAGGGAAGTGTTTTAGGACCACTGCTTTACCTTCAATACACGTCAGATATACCTAAAACTATCGATACTACGATTGCAACATTGGCTGATGATACAGCAATCTTACCATCAGATGAGAATCGAGCAGTAGCATTTGAATATCTACAGGAATATTTAGATAAGCTACAATGGCTTAAAAAATAGAGAATAGCAGTTAACGAAATGAAATCCGTGCATATCACATTCACGCTAAAGAAAGTCACCTACCCAACTGTAAGACTTAATGGACAAGATCTGCCCAAACAAACAAAAGTCAAATATTCTAGGCTTCTAGGGAAAAGTGAGTTTATGCCTGTCTTCATTTGTTTATATTGTTTGTATCGAGCGTACATAGTTTGTTTACAAAGCGTGTCCCAAAATTAACGAAAGATTTGAATTAAATAGAAAACACAGTTTTTAGTCTCCAAGTTGTGATTTTTTTATTGAATCATAAAATACATAGGATAGGATTATTTATGGAATAACACATCCACTCTTTTATCCAAATTTTCCATGACCATTTTGCATAAATGTGGCTGAATTTCGTTGATGCAGCATTTAATTTCCTCCTGTAATGCACGGGTGGTGACATAGACCTTTGACTTCAAATTACCCCATAAAAAGAAATCTAATGGTGTTAAATCACAAGATCTAGGGGGCCAATTCTGATCACCCAAACGAGAGATTACAAAATGTCTCATGCAGTAATTGAATTGTTTCACGGCCTGTATGGCATGTGGCACCATCTTATTGTCGTCTATATCAATATCATTCAACTGAGGCAGAAAGAAGTGTGTTATCATGTCGCGATACCGAGCACCAGTAACAGTCACTGCTTGACCAGCCTCATTTTCAAAAAAGTATGGTCCAATGATGCCTCCAGCCCAAAATCCGCACCAAACCGTGATGCGCTGTGGATGCATTTGTTTTTCAACAATCACATGTGGGTTCTCCGGACCCCAAATGCGTCAATTTTGGCGATTAACAAAGCCATCAAGGTGAAAATGTGGATTGCTCGAAAAATCAGCATCCACTTGTTGATGCTCAATAATCTATTCAACGCCCCATTTTTACTAACCCTAACCTCTCATCTGTCCAATTGTTTCTTTCTTGGGGTTGCCAACACTTTACTGCACAAATGGTAGCAAATTCAAATCTTGCGTTAATTTTGGGACACCCTAATATTATAATGGTTGGACATAATATATTCTTATTTTGCATATACAGCAAACACAAATTCTATTTGCAAAGTATAGTCCACTATAAACAACAATGACAAAAAAACGAAGATATTCAAAATACACATAATATGTGTACATACACACGTTTTAAAAATGTTGTAGCAGGCGCACAATCCTGAACTTCTCTTCTCGTTGTCACTCATTATGCGAAACGTCGCTCGTTATGCAGATCACTTTTCTTACAATTTATTTTGTTAACGAGCAAAATACACTGTAAGAGTTTCCACTACATATTTTTATTTAAAATAGGTTTTTTGTCTATTATTGTTATTCGCATAAACTTTGAAAACACTTTTATTTTCGGAATTACAAAATATACAGTTTTCCAAGTATATGTTCCAATATTTTTACGTTATATATATATATTTAATTTAGTTGTAGACAGATAAATAGATTTCAATAAACAAATATTAATTTCTTACTAATTAAGGTCAGAACTTTTTTATCGTTTTAATGGAGTAAGGTAAATCTGTAGAAAGAAATAAAAATTAATGTCTTTTAAAAATATTAGCAAAATTGGGCATAAAATCCCTTTACAGCATTTTAATTTAATATTATTGTTATTTAGTTTATATTTTGGTAATTTATTGTTGCAATAAAGATTATTGTTTTATTAGCAAAAATATTTGAAATGACAAGAATTATTATATTTTTCTTACATGGAAAATGTCCAAAAAAAAAAATTTGGAAAGTACGCGCAATAAACTTTAATTGTGTGTCGAAGTATTGAAAAGTTAGAAAGGCGTAAAATTGAAACGAAAATAAACCCATTGCACTAATCACAGTTTTCCGATGACGTTCGCTCTACATACATTCTGAAATTGAAATACGCAAAACACGCAGCAGAATCAAAATGCACCGTAATAAAATTGGGAGTTTCCATTACTGGAATTACGTCTATCAAATGAAAGTTTACATAACGAAAATAGTAAGAAAATGATGGATAATAAAATGGTAACGGTTCTTTTATGACATCTGTCAATGGCTTAAGAAATTTGGTGCCCGTCGCCTACTGCGCCCTTCTTCATAAGAAAGTACAGAGGATGTAAGACGCCCATGGGCTTCTAAGAATAATGCGCCCTTTTTCATAAGAAAACACAAATTTTGCTTTACCGCAAAACGGCCACCAAAATTGGTCGCCTCTCAATATATGATTTGACATAATTTAATTTATTATGACTATTACTTATTTATATATAAAATGGAATGTGAATTAAACATAAGAAACTTATAACTTCGTGTTCCACTCTGGACCACTCTTGTACTTAATCTTCACAGCAGACCTGACAACATCACAGCAGGCCACTGTAGGTAACTACGTTCGAAGATGACACTACAGTCTTAGTATCCCACAGGACTTCAGGACAGCCTAAATAACATCAACGACTGTCTGAAGAGGTATAACATTCACTATGCGTCGTAAAACCTGCCCCCTGATTACCCTGAATGGCGGCATACTATCGCAATTGGATGAAGCCAAATACCTGGGAATGCATCAATACCGACGTCTAACGTGGAAAAAGCATATAACTACCAAAAGGAAACAGCTCGGCCTGACGGTTAAGAAGTTGCATTGGCTTCTGGACAGATATTCGGGCGTCTCTAGCATAGACATCATCCAGAAATTTCTGTCAAAGACGTTGAGGCAATTGACCAGTTCTCCCTGCTTCAGTACCAATTACTCTATCCACCAGTCCACTAGTATCGCCTTCGTTAAAGTGTCATGGCCGACCATTCTATTATCATCTATCATTAATATGTATATTTGTTAGGTCTACCGCTTTCCTCTAAATTATTACAAAGCATATTTATCCATCAAATATACAAACGTGATTATTTAGAATAACTTGTGGAATATTCCGAAGGACGGTTACTCATTAAATCGTATAGTTGAGTCTATTGTATCACCACTTAACAACCTTCTTCAGCCCCTAAATATTTGGGTAGGACCATAAAACTTATTTAAAGAAACTGATTTCCTTTCCTCCCACGAAGCCCATTTTTAAAATGAACTGAGAGAAAGTCTTAGTTGAAGGGTCCAGAACATGGTCTTATTTGGAGAGTCCAAGGAAGAGCACTTACTTCTTAATTACTAACTTAAGAGGAGAATGTAACTCTTAGTAATAATCCATGAGATTAACTATTGTATAGTTGACTTCTCAATAAAAACTCTGATGTGTTTAATGAAACTAGTTAAGAATATTGCCTTTAATATTCATAAACCCCTCTAAGACTCCACAACGACATAACTACGATATAATCCACAGTATCCAGAGATTTCTTAATCGCGGGATAGAAGAAGAGATTTCAAAAGCCAGATATCTGGCTTCGGCTGGAGGATCATCCGAATCAACTTACTGCAGAGCTGGCAAATCTGGCAAGTTCGTGTATCTCAAGTATTTTAAAACGTTTTATATTTAATATTCAATGTCTATATCTCTGTTATATAACAATCATAGGATGAAGAATAAAAAAAATAGTATTTGCGTTTGTTGATTAAATATTTACAGATTACGGCAATTTCCCATACTTTTAAGTAAATAAACATTGTAAGCTTAATTTAGTACCAATAAAAATTCTGTCTACTGTAACCTGTTTATTTACAATCTAATTATATTTAGCACGTAATAAAAGTAGCAAACAATAACCACAATATAATCATTAACTTCTTACCCAACAATCAATAAATTTAAATTTTCGAAATATCTACATAGGAATATTACATTTAATTATGTTAATCTATTGCACTACAGGCTGTAAATCATAATATCTATCTAAACTCGTTAGTTTTAATTACGTTTCACTAATTAGTTGCAAGAAGTAAACTAAAATAATAATTATAAATAGATAAGTGCACCAAAATAGCACGTGTATTTACTTACTGCATATGACATGTGAGGAAATTGAACCTGAACTGAATCTCATACTCATTGAAACATCTATTTGCAGATTGCTTTTATTAATATACTTGCAGGCTTCTCGCAATGGTACTTTCAAGTGTATTTATTGATGAAATTGCTTTCTCGTAATTGATAAAAAAGCGGTTTAGTGAAGTGTAGGAAGTCGTGTATGATCGATATATTATTAACGAAGTTAATAAAAATTTAATTGTATTCGATTATAGCTACAAGTGTGTATTTATATTAATTACAATATGGGTAACAGCGAGAAATATAAAAATATATATTTATTTATTTCGACATCTCACATGAGTGCATTGAATCAGTCATTAAATCTTTTCGCTAAATTTACAGGGGGGGGGGAGGTTTTTTGACATAACAGACAGATTGCAATTATATAAATAAAAATAATATATATGTTATAAACCTTAAACACAACTAATACTATGAAAGAATAATATAGTAATAAAATAGTCATACTATTAAAATTGTTGAATTTTTTGTATGGTTAGGGAAGTTTAGTGAAGAAAAATATAAATTCATTGGTCGATTTAGAACGGATGCATGTCGATCACGTGCAATTTCAATTCCTTGGGAATGTCGAAGCCGACTTGGCAAATCGAGCAGGTGTACTTGTGTGTGACGATGTTGGGATTGTTCGAACTTCCGTTCATTTTCTCGTGCACCCTCAGATGGATGTTGAGGGCAGACTGCTTGTCGAAGACGTTCTCGCACAGCGTGCATTTGTATTGTCCTGCAATTGCGTGCTGCGGATGCTTGTAGTTCATGTGCATGTTCAGGTAGCTGGTGCGGCTGAAATTCTTCTTGCAATACTTGCACGTCACTCTGGGTCTCTTCTCGATGGGCCTCTCGTGCTGCATCTCGTGCAACTCGTACTCGCTCTTGAGCGCGAAACCGATGTCGCATATCTCGCATCTGAATATCCGCCTCTCGATCGTCATCGATGTCTTCCTGTGGCATTCGAAGATGTGCAACTGTAGAGCGGTGTCATCATCGAAACGCATCGCGCACGAAATGCATTTGAACGATTGAGATGGGGAAGGCTCAACAACTATCGCATCCGGTACCTTCCTCTGGATCCTCTTGTGCCAAGACCTATGGACTTTGAGGGATAGAGGAGCGCTGAAGGATTTACCGCAGACTTCGCATTCGTAGTTCGGAGTGGTTGTTGCATCGTTGTGGTCAGCATCCGGGTGATCGCTCCATTGATCCATCGTGCTCACCTGTTCCATCGGTATAAGCAGGCTGGTATCCAAATCGCCGTCTTCCGATTCTGTCAAATCGACGCTGTTGTTCTCGTGTTCGAGCTTATGCGCTTCCAGCTCTTCAGCGCCCGGACACCCCTGATGACAGATATCACACCAATAGGTCTTCTTCGGTGATTTCGCGGGACTTGCCCCGTGACATTTCATGTGCGTCTTCAAGGTGGAGCGATTGGCGAACACCTTGAAGCACTTCTTGCAAGTGAAATAATCCGAATCGTCATTTTCGCTGACAGCCGGAGCCTTGGCCGTTTTGTGCAACTTATTGTTACGATCGTGCATCTTCTTGTGCATCACCCAACCGGAGAGCGAGTAAAGCACACGATCGCATTCATCGCACGGCTTCGGAAAGTCCACCTTACTCTTCTTCTCCGGATGAAATTTATCGTTGCGTCCGGACTGCTTCTTGGTCACATGCACCTCCTGCAATTCCACCTCGACATCTTCCTCCTCGATGACAACCTCCTCCAACTCCCTTTCCTCAACCATCAACTCTTCAACATCCCTTTCCTGTACCACAACTTCATCATCGTCATCCTCCTCCTCCACATCCTCAACATCATCTTCTTCGGCCTCGAGCACGGGCATCCTATCGTGCAGCAGCATGTGCTCCTCGAGCTCTTCGTCAGTTGCAAAACCTTTCTCGCATATTTTACATGTTCTATTTAAACGCTGATAACTGTGCGTATTCGGATCTCTGCTTAAAGTGATGTTTAGATGGGTTTTTCGATGCTGGTCGTAATCCGAGACAGTCTTCAGGATCTTTCCACACTCTTTACATGCGTGTTCATTGGCAAGATGAATTTCTAACCATCGGGCTGTTTTGAACACTTCGCCGCAAATCTCGCATTTGCTTTTACCCATCTTCGAATGAACAAAATTCTGATGAGACCTCAAGTGTGACACAGACGTGAACTCATTCAAACACTGCGAGTAATGCAAAACATCCGTTGTATTCCCCTTCTTCTTACTAGTATCCTTATAATAATTTCCAAAATAAAATAGTATTAATATTGTCCCTAAAAAGTAAAAACAGATTTAAACAATATTAATGAAATGAAATACCATTATATTACCTCAGTCTTCAACCTCAGACCAAATATTGCACCCACGTCTTTGATTCTTTTGAATATCTAAAAGCAACAATAATAGCATCATATTAAACTTTGAAACCTAAGACGTGAATTGATGTTTGTTTGAAACTTCTAATCTAAATAAACATTACGCTTTTAAACAATGACTGAATCATACACGATTTATGTGGAATGTAAACAAAGTGCATTGTATTTTACCTTGACTTTAATTTACTATTGAATTGTAATGCAAAAGTATGGAAATTTAATCATTGGTTGTACAATAATAAAAAGAAAAGAAAAATGTTTAGAAGTATGAAATCAAGTGATTTGTCATATGAAACCAGATACAAAAATATATAAATTTCAATAGGTAATAATTAACACATATTAATGTGTAAATTATTAAAATGCGTGAGATTGATAAATATTTACTCGAAATTAGAGCCCACCAATTACAATTCGTCGATCTGTAAAACCAGTATTCGACGAAGGGTGTAGTTTGTTTAGATTATGATTGTATAGATGTGGTCTACAGAGAAACATTACGTCTGACGTAGGCGATGTGGATGGATCAGATGTGACCCAATAGCGTTATAAAATGTAACAAAAGCTGTTACAGCAGGAAAGGAAATAGATGATATCTAGGATAATCATTAGTTGGATATAGCGATTGGTGATCTGCAAAAATGTGAATGTTGAGTAGATTAGGTGAGAGGGGAAATGGAAGATGTCGGTTAAGCTTTAGTAGAAACGAAATTGGTGTATTTACATTGGTAATGGTAGAATATGGGAGAGGTCTTCTTTCTCTTCCTCTTTTTGGAAACAACTGCAACTCTTCGACGAATTTGGTCGAACCTCTCGTAGGACCACTATGGGGCAAAATGTTTAGGTTATGCGTGTTGCAAATACCAGGAACCAAGCGAACCGGACAATCGTCGATTGTTGACTGAAAGATACTTGATGAACGGGTCACTCGTTGCATTCGTGGTTATGCAACTTCACATTCCTGTTACACTTACACGATCATATTACAAGATCAGCGTATTCAGCCTAAAATATGGAATTTCTTTGGCTATATACCTATATAAATAGTTTAGTAATTAGCTACAGTTCATTCAGTTTCTTCTCTTAAAAAGATTATCATTTTATTTAAAAAAAAATAGGTAGTCTCAGTGACAGTGGAAACAGTCTCAGTGATTGTTTTCTACTGTTACAAATATCTTAATCTGAAGTTATTTTAACACAACCTTGGACAATTCATTAACTACTACAACTTTTTTTTTATTATCATTGCTTATAGATGATAAATTTATTATTAAATCTTGTATTTCTGGTGGAAATATGAGGAAAGTGGTTGTAAATTTGGTACACCTGAAGGACATCCATGTCTCTTATACTGAATAGTGTGGGTGCAGCTTAAGAAAAGTATTACTGGTTGCTGCATTTTTGAGTGACAAAAACTATCTTCAAATAGAATGTATTAAAATGTATGTATGTATGTATTCATTTCTTTGAAATTGAAAATATTAAAATATTTGCTGTTACATAAAATTGTAATTAAAAAAAAACTTTAATAAATTTAGTATAATACTAAAGTAAAAGAACTTATTTATGGAAAATAATAATAATTATAGAAAAGTAATATTTTATTAACAATGTTAATAAATTTTTAACATTGGATATAAACCATAATAATTTTAATTAATTTAATAACTATGTAGGTAACAAGTGAACAATATAAAAAATATATTTATTTCATTAATAATAGTTCCTAGAAAACAAATTATTGAACCAGTCGATTTTCAGGGACGTCGTAGTCTTCTAATTATTTTTAAGTTAGGTACTTGGAGACACATCTGCGTCAGAATACACTATACAAAATATAATATTAAGAACCGTTTGCAATTTACAATTTACAGCACGATCGAAATCGTGAATCGCGTTCGAATTATGAACAGCAAAAACATTTTTTTTCTTTCTTCCAAACGAAGAAAATTTCATAAGAGAAAAATATAATAAACGAGTTTATGTAACAGAAATCGATATATTTAGAATGGATGTAGAGCTATTATATGATTTCTGAGTTCTTTGGGAACGTCGAAACCGACGTGACAAATCGAGCACGAGTACTTGTGGGCTTTGGTCGGTTTGCTGACGGTAACGTTCATCTTCTCGTGCACCTTCAAATGAATGGTGAGTGCGTTCTGTTTCTCGAAGATCCTTTCGCACTGCGTGCACTTGAATTGTCCTGCGACCGCGTGCTGCGGATGTTTGCTGGTAATATGGATGTTGAGATAGTCGCTGCGACTAAAAGTTTTGTCACAGAACTTGCATGTCACTCCTGCCTTCTTGTCTTTCACCTTTTCGTGCGTCCTCTCGTGGGCGTCGTACTCGCTCTGCACGGTGAAACTCAAGTCGCAGGGCTCGCATTTGAATATCCGCCTCTCGATGGTCGTGGATGTCTTCCTGTGGCATTCGAAGATGTGCAGCTGCAGCGCGGTGTCATCTTCGAATTGCTTGGCACAAGATATGCACTTAAACATTTGCGTTTTGTGCTGGGGGGTGGCCGTTGCGGCAGCAGCAGCCTTCCGTTGTGCCCTTTTGTGCCAGGAATAGTGGACGTTCAACGCCAGATTTGAATTGAACACTTTGCCGCAGGTATCGCACTCGAATTTGGGAGTGTTATTTTCGCTGTGATCGTTAAACATATGGTCATTCCATTGGTTCGACGTGTCGAAGGAGAGCTTGCAAAGTTTACAGTCGTGTTGCTTTCCAGGTTTAAGTACTGGCTTCGTCGCAATCTCGCCTTCCTCGGGTTCCGTCAGATCTTCGCTTTCGTGCTCGAGCTTGTGCTTTTTCAGTTCATCGACGCCCTGACACGCCTGATGACATATATCGCACCAGATGGTCTTCATAAACTTTCCGGTCTTCATCTGCGTCCTCGTCGGGCTGGTGTTGATACCGTGGCACTTCATGTGCGTTTTCAGCGTTGAACGATTGGCGAACACCTTGAAACACTTTTTGCAGGTCGAGTAATCTGAATCATCGTTGGGGTTAGCAGGTTGTGTTTTTATAGATTTCTGCAATTTATTGGTGCGATCGTGCATCTGCTTGTGCATCACCCAACCGGAAAGCGAGTAAATCACTCGATCACACTCGTCGCACGGCCTCGGGAAGTCCATTTTACCTTTCTTGTCCGGATGGTACTTCTTGTTGTGCACCCACAACCCGCGTGAACTCTGATAATGCCTTCCGCACTCGTTACAACTGTGCTTCTTGTCGTCTTCAATGCTTTCATCATCTTCGGCTTCGAGGACTGGCATTCGTTCATGTAATTGTAAATGTTCCTCGAGTTCCGATTCCGTATTGAAGCCTTTATCGCAGATCTTACAAATCTTGCTGAGACGATGGTAGCTTTTCGTCTTCGGGTCTCTGGCTAGGGTAATGTTCAGATGGGTGTTTCGATGCTGCTCGTAATCGGAGACAGTCTTCAAAACTTTATCGCATTGCTCACACGCAAACCCATGCTCATTCTCCTGATGCTGCTCCAACCATCGAGCGCTCTTGAATGACTCCCCGCATTCCTCGCATCTGTACGTCGTCCTGGCTACCTTAACAGTATCCGCATGAGCTTGACTCTGGTGCGTCTTCAACAGCGCCACCGAAGTAAAAACCTCCAAACATTCGGAACATTTTAACGCGTCGCAATGCGCCTTCTTATGTCTCATCATATTCGAGTAATTGCTGAACACGTTACCGCAGATCTCGCACTCAGTGCGCTTCTGCATCAAATCAAACCTGTGATGCGACTTCAGATGCCTAACCATGTTATGATAATTCGCGTAAACCTTATTGCAACGCGGACACTTGGCGCTGTTAAACCTGGAAAAATGCTTCTCATCTAATTCTATGAGCGGATCGATATTCGGCATTTCTACATTAATATCCATTTGCATTTCATCGGGTTCCTCCATTTCAGACGCTTCCTTCTCCAGCAACCGCTTCTTGCTTTCCAGAAGGCAATTGTTGATTTCGATGTTCGTGAGCACTCTGAAGTTTGCGTGCGGTTTCAGGAAAACATAGTTCTCGTCCGTGTCGTGGAACTCCTCGCAGTGCTCCACGAATTCCTGCAGATTGGAGGTGAGCAAGAAGCAGATGTCGCAGTAGTAGTTCAGGAAGCAGGATTTGTGTATATGCTGACGGAATAGGTCGGCGTTTTCGAAGCTCTGCATGCAGAGGCAATCGAACGGACCATCCTCTGTTACGTGTGTGTTATCAACGTGCGAGCAGTAATCTTCGTAGAAGCTGAACAAATAATTACACTGTATGCACTTGAAGTTTTGGTATAAACGTATTTTATCTTTAGTCCGAGCTCGAAGTTCCGATAACCTTATCAGAGATTCCAACTCGACTCGCGGACATCTGAGAATATGCCTCATCTTTCCCGATCTACCGTCAAATGTTAACAAACAGTTGTAGCACGTGTACGGTGGAAACCAAACGAAGAGTTGCCTCAGATGTCCGAGCATCCTCTTCTGTGTGCTGAAGTACTGGTTGTGACAGGCGCAGGTGTCCTTCTGGAACATGGAAATCATGATCCGGCACTTTTCCAAATAAGTCTTCTCGATTTTGGTGAGCGAAGACTGCATCTGCCTCGGCGCCGACTTCGATTGAAGACGAAGACCGGCTGCGAACTTAATCTTCTCGTGGTCTTTATCCAGGATCGAAGGCGTCGTCGGCCGCGGGATCGCCACTTCTTTGGATTCCTTGTTGATGCGCGTCAACGTCACCTCTTTGTTATTCAGGAAAGAACTACCGGTAGACTTCTTGGGTTCAGCAACAACTAACATAACAAGACACATAAAACGTACAATTAAAATACATCTCAGGATAGAAATACTTGATGGATTTACGACATCTTAAAGACTCCACCGAATTGAAAATCATTACCTTTAACTGGGGCGTTAGATTCGACCTTTCGCAGCTTCCCACCATGAAGGCCATGCATAGTTTTTTCATGCTTTTTTCTATTCCCAGGATTGCTCAATATTTTTTCGCACACACTACATTGATTCGTCACTCCCACCGATTTATTAATGGACGCATCCTTACTAACATCTATGTTCAACGAAAAGAAAATTAAAAAGCGAAATAAAAGAATGGGCAAATAAATAATAGATGGACAACTGTAAAGTTAATGCTAATAATGATAATAATAAGAAGTACATGCTACTCTGTTAGTATGAAGAGTTCGATCCTAATTTTATAATGATATTCACCTATCGTACTCTCGGCTTCCTCCAATTGTGAATCATTGTCGACGTCCATTACAATCTCAGGAGGATGCGGCGTCAATGCGGGTGGATAATCGAAGAACTCCTCTTCCATAGGTTCCGCCGGTTCAGACTTTACCACGACTCTCTGAAGTAATACCATTTCCATTAAACTCGTTCAATCACAAATACCATATACCATACCATATTTTCGGGTTTACCAACTGCTGAAACCTCGTCATCTTTTGGCTCATCGACCGGTTCGTCTTTGATTTTAATTGTCTAAAAAACATAGCATACAAAATATAAATTATTAGGAAATAGTTGTTAGATAATAAACCGATATACATTTTTTTTTTTCAAAAATTGATCAATGATGCAAAAACACGGGAAAAATGATTTATCAACGAATAATTATTATAGTTTGAAGTTCACACAAATAATTGCAATATTATTAATAGCAAACATTCACTATTAGCAACAAAATAACAGAATTATACATACATGATTATATAATACATGAAGGACATTCATTCAAAACTGTGAAGATTCAAAGTCATTAGTGAAATTGCTGCAGGAAAACCTAATACGACTGAAATATTACTTTCGAATATAGATCAAAAACATATGGTAATATTCTAACATCACTTAAGTGATTTACGACTGTTGAAAAAACATAAATTTGAAGTAGATAAGAATACAATGTGAGAGGTACGCAACATAATTGCCCATTGAAATATGATCTTTGATCGGCTTATCTTCAATAGATATGTACACTCTATAGCGCCAATTAAGATAGAAATGAATCGCGTATTGCAACAGGAAACGTCGAATCTTTTTATATCAAAAATGTTGTATTAATTTTCATAAAGAAAACTTGTAAACTAATAAATGTAAAGTATTATTATGGCTATACTAATTACAAATGTTGAGATAATTTTGAAAATATTTTGAGAGGTACGCCAACTTAACGACTGTCTGTGACTAAATGATTAAGCTTATCTTCAGAATTGGCGATACAATTCTGAAGATACGAATAAATCACGGATCGCAACCAACAGGAAATCGTCGTAATTATAGCGTTATTAAAATAGACGTTTTGATCGTGACGATATGATGAATATTCAGCTGCTACGAATCGCAAGTAACGGTCGATGTTCGGAGAAGGCAGATGCATTCATTCTTCTTGGGTAAGCTTCGAGCAGGTAGAGAAGATCGGGTCGATATTTACATCGGAAAATGGAAGAGGATGAGAGATCTATTTAAAGGCATCAGGAGTTTGCCAGGAAACTGGCGCGCATGAAACGACAGTTGCATATAACGTCATCAGTGGACGGATGGAAATGCACCCAAGATCGAAGGCCGTCGGCTCCGGAGGTTTGACCCATTTGCTTCTCAACAAAATAAATATATTCCATCAACATAGCAACACCCATTGTTACATGTGTATGTGTTCGCCATCTTGCGTACTCCAAGAAAATTGCTTAGATGTTAAATGATTCCAAGAACCCAAATCTTTTTGAGGATTAATATCTTAAGTATCATCTGCAAACCACTACAGATATTACCACAATCTTCCTCCTAAGTCTTGAAATAATTTCAACAATATTATTGTTACATTTAGCAAATCCTACTGCGGAAAATTCCGAGACTTGTGTGTGTGTAAGATACATAAATATAAAGATGACTCCTTCTAGAAACGGCATTTTCCTTTCTCTAAATCTGGCGTGCATGGTCGAGAAATGCGAAACAAATGCAGCTCCTCGGATGATGTACATCTCGGTTAAATTGCAGACGAGACAAATAATGTTTGTTACATACCCCGTTCGTAATATTGTCGTTGATGGTAGTCATCCACTTCTGCAGCTTGCCCTGATTCGAGTGGCACGCCTTCTTGAATTCAGCGAAGTTGTTTATCGTTAAGTAGCATTTGTCGCAGAGCATCGTCGACAGTTTGTCGGTCTGTGTAATCTGCAAAAAAAAAAAACATACAATAAAAACAAATAAGTCGAAGCAAAGCGAAAAGGATGACTTGAGCGTGGTCAATCGTTGTTCATCGACCGAAAAAAAAACCTCCCATGACCCAGTGAATGCGATTTTTAAACAAATGTGTAGGAAACTGCAGTTGCCTATAACACATTTGTTACTCAATTGTTGTTAATATTTATACTGACAAAAAAAAGATTGTTTGTACCTTCTGCACATGTTAGAAGAATGAACGAAGATTACGAAACTACTTCTTGAGAAACTGCTCCATTGAGAAATGTATTAATCAAATGAATGCATTTACATAGCATTAGTAATGGCTTCGCATTTATGAAATTCCTCGAGTATATCGATTAATTTACATCATACGTTCACCGCACAAATGGTTATCGTTTTGTTCCTTTTCTTAATACACCTTTGAATCATTCGATATTAAATATTTCCATTATTTTACTTCCGTTATATAAATTGCTAAATCTATATAGTAAAGCTAATACAGTTTTAGATTTCAAAGACAACACTTTTATAGTTGTAAATTTAATATTTATAAAAAGAAGACATAAAGGCGTAATAATAATTACAATCATTAGCACGAAAATTATTATTTTTGTATTTGTTGATTCGTGAAATTGTATAGTTTTTCAAATGCAGAAAATACAAATATTTTGAGGAAGTTCAAAATGTACTACAAACAATTATGAGAATGTTTCCTTTATTTATAAGAATCACTTCTTAATGTAGATTTCAAATGGAAAACAACATTAACTGAATGATTGTGAGTATATACAATTAAATATCATTCAAAGTTACTAAACATAGGACTAGTACTAGTATTTTTATATGTACAATAATACTTCTAGTGAGATAATTAAAATTTAATAGTTTTTGAAGTAATGATTAAAATAAAGATTCAATACTAGAATTACTACGAATCTCTTTATCATAATTGTATCGAAGATTGAATTGTAGTTAGATTTAGTAGTTTTAATTTAGTTTAATTTCAGTAAATCATTTAATAAGAAAGTTACGCGTAACTAAAACTTGTCTTGCTTAACTAATAACAAGTTAACGAGTTTGAATTTGGAATTCGTTCGTTTGTTTAGTCAGGAAACAAACTTTTAATAGAAGATTGATGGACTTTGGTTCGTATTCACATGATAAGTGTTCTGTTTCGAGAGGATGTTTGAAGATTTCTAGTAAATGATTAAATGCTAATTCCAACAAGTAACATCAGAACACAATTAATGTGTTAATCTGTACACGTAACATAAGAAATGACAAAAACAAAATTGACAACGTAAGTTTACGAATTACGAGATGATAAGTATACTTTGTTAGATTTAACATATATAATTAAAGTCTTTAATCGTTCATCAAATAATGGAAAATTGCAAAATGTCTATCACCAATCTTGAAGATAGCTTTAAGAGCAAAACTTGAAAATCTTATACTGATTCTAATGTCTTCCATTTTCTTATTAAGTATATAAATTTATAATACGTAGAAATTACAAAGTTGTATATATAAACTTTGTTTGAAATAGAATCCCTAAAGATAATTTTAGTGATTAATCCTAGATGGAATGAAGTCATAAATATTTATGAAATAGTCTATTATTAGATATTATCAAATAGTAGGTTGTTTAATATAGTGTAACTTGAAATACATTTAAATATTTAAATCAATGCAAAATATTTGTAAACCTTAGATGGAATTGAATTTTGAAGGATTATCCTTACTATTGGAATATAGTTTTAAAATGTACCATTGTTATAGAAGAATTCTGAAATAATACATGTTCAAATATTTAGTAGTCAAAGGTAACTACTAAAAGTCCAAGAAGTTAGAAACAATTGAATTAAAATATTAAAAAAAAATTATCTTTGAATGATTCAATAAGTATACCTAGTGAAATATTTTTTTGTTTTCTGATCATTGGCTTGTAGAAGTTTGTTGTTGTTTGGTTGAGGATGAGGACTACTATTCAAGGATCAATACTGGCTTTAGTATGAATATTATATGAGGATGAATGTTTAATTGGGTAAGCCTTCTTCTATTGGAAGGTGTATTTCAGTATAATGATGAAGATCTGTAGTGTATACAGTATGATATCATCAATTTAGATGGTTGTGATTAAAAAAAAAAGAATGTGGTGAAACAGTTCCAATGCATGATGATGACTAATGCATGCTTGCAAGGATGGATGTAGTTGGTATATAGCTCCTCCATTTTGTTTGAGAAAGTCATGCCTACTAGATAGAGGTGAGCTGAGGAGTAGTAAAAGGAAGAAGAAGAAGAATATGAGAGACCATGCATGAAGGCATGCACCTTCATTGAGGCTCTGGCTGGGGATGTCGTCCAGCAGGAAGTGTTTAGAAGAGAGAAGGCATGATGATGATGATGAAGTATGTGTATGCATGCATGTATGTATGAAAGCTATGACAATGGCATTGATTTCCTTACCTGCACTCCGACCAGCGTACCGATCTTGTCGACCAGGCCGTGCGACTCCGTGTATCCGGCATAGATGTTGTTCAAGTAGTTGTTCTTCTCGCTCAAGCATAGCCGACAGCATGAACTGTAATTTCCGATCTTCGCCTGTGCCATGGTCCTATCCAATGTATAAAAAATAATAACAAAACAGAGATGAGGATCCGACCACCTTCCGCAGTAGTATAGTCGAGAGTCACGTCCTTCGGTGTTACACCACCACCATGTATGGCTTATTTCACAACTGTCCCAACGTCTGGATGTTGGTGAGACTCACTACAACGTATTATCATGAGCACTAAAACCAACGTACAATTCACTTTGGGTACGCCATCATTACCCCCACTCTCCTGTTCACTAGCCTGTAGCTTCGGCTCTGCTGCTCCACACTACTACTACTAGGCTAGCCTACAAATTGTATACCTCTCACGACTCTCAACAGAAATATGGGCGAAGTGTGATCCCCCGAGTTTCACCAGTGAAAAGGCCACCAACTGTTCTCCTCTCCCTACGCGCGGACACTCTGCTGCATCACCAGCACCAGCTGCCAGCTCGGAACGCTTAAACCAGTTTTTCAGATTCCAAACTCTTCAAAAGCAGCAGCTACCAAGAAAAACCGAAGCATGCCCATGATCCACCAAAGTCCATCATCGTCAAACCGTTTCCGTCTACCACCCAAATCGCATATCCCCCATCCTATCCCATATTGATTACAACCTCGGACACCTCGCCAACACCAAACATCATTGGCTTTCAACCTGCGCGATTCCTCGAATACACCTCCAAATCATCTTTCCAAAACCTACAACAACCATCCAAAATCAACCGAAACCATATTCCATCAACAAACAACAATTATCCTGCAAACCTATCCACAGCATACATCAACCCACCTAAAAATAAGGATAGTCTGCATTAAAAAAAAAACTAAATCCTTGTAAGCTCCAATACAAAAACAAAGCGGAGAAATTTAAACCTCTTAAAATGCTTGACCAAAATGATTCCATCCATTTCCCATTTTACGAGAATACCATAAACGTAACACAACCATTTTTGAGGAATGCCATCTATGTGCATTTCGAAAATCCCGCCCCGGCGCCAACCATCCATCCCGAAGTGAGGCGCAAGTCTTGAACCATATTTATATAGTAAATGGAGTCAACGAAGACGTCGTCAATGTCAGTGTTTACTAATCCATAAATGTTTAATATCTCGCGCACAGATAATAACTTTTGAACGTTTAATTATGAAATCACCGCAATCCGAAGATTGCCATCTCTCGAATTTACAAATTTGAGCTCTTAGGCCCAACGTACTCAACATCAATACACATCCAAATAGGTAACATCAAATCTATTATACTTTTTTTTTATTATAGGATTAATAAATGTAAACTATTATTTTGTATAAATAAACTAACCTATTATTATTGATAATCTTGAAACTTTTGAAATGAAAAATTTGCCATTAATTTTATTCTTATGTTCTAGGAAGTTTAATAACCTTATTTTATAACTTAACCTATATATGTTTATTGAATACAATTTATAGTTGATACTATTATATACCCAATAATTAGTTTTTGTGTTTTCAGTAATTCGCCAAAATGTCTAAAAGGCATATTGATGACTCAAGCAGTGGGCAGCCGCCCATCAAGAAGATCCACTTTGAACCTCACCTTATCGGACCAGTTTCCACTCTGGAAGAGATGGACATAAAAGTGTTACAGTTCCAAAATAAGAAATTGGCTCAGGTACAGTTTAATTGATTGATTAATTACTGAGATTGTTATTGGTAATATTAATTGGTTTGCAGAGGATTGAGCAAAGGTTGAGGACAGAAGCTGAGCTGCGGCAGAGGATTGAGCAGTTGGAGAAGAGGCAGACCCAGGACGATGCCGTTCTTAACGTGGTTAATCGCTACTGGAATCAGCTGAATGAAGACATCCGTGTTTTGCTTCAGCGATTCGACGCGGAAACTGCGGATGAATCCGAGAACAAGAACGAGAATGAGGCGACCACGTCTTTCCTCATGCAATTGTCCACATGGGATAAGGAGGAACTGGATGATAAATTGGCGAATCGCGTGCAGGTCTCCAAAAGGGCCGTGGCAAAAGTCATTCAAGCATTCGATCGGCTGATGCAGCGCAACGAGAAAATTACGTTGGCGTTGAAGGGTGAACTCGAAGGGCGTAAGAATTTGCACGTCGACCTTCGCATAGATTTCAATTGGGGTTTTGCGTTTCAGAGGATGCCCCCGCGGTGGACGAGGTGATCAGAGATGCCAATGTGCAGCTACAGGCGGAGAACCATCATCTCCAGGGCATGCATACCTCGCTGCAGGAGAAGTACCACAACATTAGCTTGAGGATGTCTGGTCTTCAGGACTCTGTTACGGCCAAGGAAACGGAAATCGCTGAGTTAAAGAACCAGATAGACGATTTGCAGTACGATTTGGATAAGGTCAGGACGAGGAACGATAAATTGGAGAACCATTTGGGCGAGGCTATTGAGAAACTGAAGATCTATCATCACATGCACGGAGATCCGGAGAAGACTGGAGAGAAGTCTAGCAACAAGCAGGTCGTTCAGAGCAACGTTCCTCAGGCTAAATTGGAAGATCTCACCAAGGAGGTCGAGGAATGGCGCGAGCTGGCGAACAACAGGCTGCAGGAACTCGACAAATTACACCAGACCCATCGCGAAACTCTCAAGGAAGTTGAAAAACTAAAAATGGATGTTAGTAGTATCAATCAGGCTAAATTGCCCAACATATCTAAATTCATTAATTTTCAGATCCGACAATTACCTGAAAGTGTTATAGTGGAGACGACTGAGTACAAATGTTTGCAATCGCAATTCTCTGTGCTTTATAACGAATCTATGCAACTCAAGACTCAACTGGACGAGGCCCGACAACAATTACAGACTAGCAAGAACGTACATCTAAGGAACATTGAAATGATGGAGAGCGAAGAATTGATTGCTCAAAAGAAATTAAGACAAGAGGTTATGCAACTGGAAGATGTTTTGGCACAGCTGAGGAAGGAGTACGAAATGCTGCGGATCGAGTTCGAACAGAATTTGGCCGCAAACGAACAAACCGGACCCATTAACAGAGAAATGAGACATTTGATCACTTCACTGCAAAACAATACACAACAATTGAAAGGTGAAGTGCAGAGGTACAAAAGGAAATACAAGGAAGCGAACGGTGAAATTCCGAAGGTAAATATGAATCTGAGCGTTGAGGTTTTTAAATTAACTGTAGGTTGTTTTTATTTTTTGAAGTTGAGGAAAGAAATCGAAGATTTGCAAGCTAAGTTGGAGCAGCAACAGAACGCAGCACAAGACACGAAGGAGGTGTTCAAGCAGGAAGTAGTTAAGGAGGAGGATAACGCCGGCTCTGAATCGTCGGCGCAGATCAAAGAAGAATCGTCTGCACAATCAGTTAAGAAAGAGGAGGATGAAGGTGAACAGACTGAAGATGCGGGAGGCAGTGAAAAGCCAACCGACGGTGGAGCCGCAGGGTCTCCGACTATTAAGAAGGAGGGCGTGAAAGTGGAGAAAGGAACAGTTAAGAAGGAAGCGGTCGTTAAAACAGAGAAAGATAATAGAGATGCCCAAAGAGCCAAAGAAGCTAAGATTGCTGAGAATGAAATGATCAGGGATTTGAAGGCGCAATTGAAGTATGTGTTTGTTCAGATGATTATTAGGATGTGTGTGTGTTAATATTCTGATTTTTGTTGTAGGAAAGCTCTGAATGAGCAGAAAGAGATGAAATTACTACTGGATATGTATAAAGGAGTTAGTAAGGAACAGCGGGATAAGGTGCAGCTCATGGCGTCCGAAAAGAAACTGCGAACGGAAATCGACGATATGCGTCAACAATTGAAGAAAGTCCAGGAGAGCAAGCGCGAGGATCGCAAGAAGTTGGCTGACGAAGATGCGCTTAGGAAAATTAAGCAGCTTGAAGAGCAGAAGTACGAGCTGCAGAAGCAAGTGGCCAATCAGAAACCTGTTGATGGCAATTGGGCGGGACACAATGTGCTGCATCAGATGCGGCCGTTCGTTGGGTCGCACGAGGAAGAAGCTCTGCTGAACGAAATGGAGGTGACTGGGCAAGCTTTCGAGGATATGCAGGAGCAAAACTCGAGGTTGATCCAACAGCTGAGAGAAAAGGACGACGCTAATTTTAAGCTGATGACGGAGCGAATCAAATCGAATCAGTTGCACAAGTTAGCCAGGGAGGAGAAGGATGTTCTGAAGGAGCAAGTCTCTACGTTGACGACACAAGTGGAAGCAACGAACGTTGTTGTGAGAAAGCTTGAGGAAAAGGAGCGTATCCTTCAGAACACTCTTGCCACCGTGGAAAAAGAATTGGCTTTACGGCAGCAAGCTATGGAGGTCCACAAGAGGAAAGCCATAGAGTCCGCTCAGAGTGCAGCGGATCTGAAATTGCATTTAGGTAAGTCCCTAAATACTGCAGAAGTGCATCTAATAAAAGAGAGCCGATCGTTGAATGCTTTGATACTTTCAGAAAAATACCATTCCCAAATGAAGGAGGCGCAGCAGGTGGTCGCAGAAAAGACGAGTTCCTTGGAAGCCGAAGCGTACAAGACAAAGAGACTTCAGGAGGAAATAGCGCAACTAAAACGTAAGGCAGAACGTATGAAAAAAATGGAATTGGCTGGCACTACATTAGACGAAGTAATGATGGAGGAAATTCGAGAGTACAAAGAGACTCTCACGTGTCCTTCGTGTAAAGTTAAGCGGAAGGATGCAGTGCTTTCCAAATGTTTCCACGTTTTTTGTTACGACTGCCTTAAGACGCGTTACGAGACCAGGCAGAGGAAGTGCCCGAAGTGCAATTGCGCTTTCGGTGCGAACGACTACCATCGGCTATACCTTTCCAACTAGTATATTTATATATTTAAATACTAAAAATAATTATTTCGTATTACCTAAGCAAAATTGTAAATCATGCGAAACGATTTTAATATTTAAAATTTATGATTTAATGTTCCAATTTACAAACTATAATCAATGCATTCCTTCGGAAGGAACGCTGTCTTTCGGAAGGGATAAAACGTTGTACAATTTTTTTTAATATATATATATATAAAAAATGTTTTTCTAAAAACAAAATATAAATAATTTAATTTTTAATAAATACATGGTGACAATTAGTATTGTGTTTTAATAGTAATATTATTGAATAGAAAAATAATGTCTATATTTAAACGTAATTTCCTTTGAGCTTGATGAATCTGGTTCAACGCTTTTCGACACATTTAATTCCATCAATAAAGAACGTTTTCGTCATTTTTGTGAAAGATAAATTGACTATACCTATTTAGAAGTTTTCAAGGGAAATATAAAATCTTGCACAATCAAAATATTGACAAAGTTATCTGGCCTTTAGAATGTAACTTGTCACACAAAAGTAAACCAGATGATCAAAGAGGTTGTTGCAATGGTTTCTATGGCAGCATCAATATTATTATATAATAAATACATTTGTTATAATTATACCATCCCTGAATCTGTGAAGTTCGTTGAAAAATCGTATTTACCAAAAATCTTTAAAAGTTCATAATTCTGTAAGTCTTTTGAATTATAATATTTGTTATATCCTACCTTTACAAATCCTTTGATTTTCGCATGTTTAACAATGTCAGATGTATAACTACTGTATAAACCGGTGGCAATCGCAAGCCCGACAACCGAAAGACGGTCTATTGAAATTCCGACGTTCGAAATCCCTGCTGTATTAAAATCCCGACTGTGTTAAAATCCCGACTACCATAAAAATGTTATTGTAGAAATTTATAATAATAAAAGACACTGTCGAGATTTCAATATAGACGGGATTTTGATTGTCGGGATTTTGACATAGTTGGGATTTCGATACACTCGGGATTTCGATAGATGGAATTTCGGTTGTCGGGCTTGCGATTGCCACCGGTATAAACTTGTGCAAACAAGTTTGATTATATTCCTTAATAACCAATAATAGTTGGTACACCTGGTACATCACTAATTAGTTACGAATAGTGTGGATGCAGCTTTATACATAATAGAAGTAAAAGCTTCAAAAATTATATTTCTTGTTTCATATATTCAAATCCAATTAGGTTTAAGGTTAATTAAATAAGACTAATGCATGTTATTATTACACAGTAACAATATATTGATAATGTTCAATACTCGAAAAGGGTTTTGTTTCTTTTTGAATCGTTTTCGGGTTCAATACGTAATGTATATTATATACAAATTTCATCATAAAAAAAATAATAAACAAAACTAAAGTACATAAAAAAAAACACAACATACAAATACACATAAATCGGAGATATACACATAATTGCGGTTATAATAATGATAATTTAATATTTAAAAAAAATATATAGGGAATAATTGATATATACATGAATGGCGGTATACGATTTTCAAATTGGAGAGTACGTGAATCAATTGTCCAGACAGAAGCAACCTCGATTAGAAAATTGATAATCATATAAAGAAAGAATAAAATTTACATAATACATGATACATAATAATTTTCGCTTCGCAGGGATTTTAAAACGGACTACGATAATATTTTTTTAAAAAAATAATAATAATATTCTCGTATTTTTTATCGAATGGAAGAAAATAATCTACGAATCGCTCTGAAAAATATTTTTAGCGCAATCTGATTAAAATCTATATCACTTTGGACGAATTTCGTTTTCTTCATTATTACGTTACTAATGGCATCAACAATCAATTCAGCCTTGTATATATACTAGAGGGAAGTCGTTATTTTTTTTCTTCTACTTCTTCTTCTTCTTCAAGTTTACTTTTTTTTAAGTATAAATATCTCTTTTACCCAATCATGGATCCTCAAGCGATCGAACCAACCGTTGCCGTTAAGTTCAAGGTGTCCATGGCCCGAACTAGTGCTGAATTGTTATCAGGTAGCAAGGATGAGGGCATCGCTGATGCGCTTTGGAAGCTGGCTTCCTCTAAATCTTGCTGCAGCTTCGCCAAAGGCGCGCATTGTTGGACTACCGGTTGGATATCATGCAGGATCTGAAAAATGATATCAAGACATTACATTTTTTGTTTGCATAATTTTCATTTAAATGTACCTCTAAAGCATTGTCGATTGCGTCGTACTGTTTCTTCGCTTCGTTTAAAGCTTCGTTCAAATTATCTTGAAGTGTCTGTCTGTACGCGATGTACTCTAAAGTCAACTCGTTCAGATGCTTCTCCTTGTCGACAAGTTTCGCTTCCAATGTAGGAACCTGAAAATATGAAGATTAAAACTTTCATTTAACAAAACTAAAGTTGCTGTCAACTACTGACCTCGTTCAAACTTATAACTAATTTTCCCATCACCTCGGCGCTTGGCACTTCACCAGTCGCCTCCCATCTCTTTAAAGCCTCTGTACCTTCTTCCTCTTTTACTTTAATCTCCCGTTCGGATTTCGATAGGGCCGTCGATAAATCGCATACATCTTGATTCAATTTCTGCAAATCATGACATTTTTTTTCTGGTAAACTGTTCAATTTCACAATGGTAAATTTAAATAACTTACCTCGACTTCCACTCTTTGTTGATTCAATTCGTTTCTGATATCCTCGAATTCGCTGTTCTTTCTTCCCAACTGATGCAGAAGGTCGCTAACCTCTCCCTTCAATTTGGCACCCAGAATCTCCCAGTCCTTGAGTTGCTTGACGACTATCTTATTTGTGTCCCTCTGGGATTTCATTTCATCCGCGAATATTTCGCGTTCCTCTACGATATAATCCTCGTTGGCCAACTGGATGATCCGGATGACCTTCAGCAATCGCGTGACCAGATTGTCTACGTCGATGATTTGATCTACTAACGACACCGAGCAGAAATCCGTGAGCGAAGACATGTTGCTCCTGTTGCTCGTCATCTGGGGGATGCTGTTCAGACTCTCACTTTGGCTCAGCCTCAGCGAAGAGGTCAGACTGTGACCCGAAGAGATCATATTGTGAGAATGACCGTCCGGTACGAAAACATCCTCCAGGACGTGCTCCATCATCAAACAAGGCTCCGTCTCCGAATCCAGTAATTCCGTCGAATCCGAATTATCTAATCGAAAGATTTATTTAGTTTATATTCACGAATCATCGGATGAAGAACACAAGCAATTACCTGTAATGTTATCTTTGCTATTCTCCCGATTGCTTGTAGTGAACGGTGATTGTGCAGTTGCGCTCCTGATGGCGTTAATTACCGCTGAAACAAAAGATGAGCCGCGTTTCGGGGATTGCGTTTTGTCCACGATAAATTTCCTGCATTTATCCGGAGTCACGTCTGGGCTGCTACTGCTGTTGCTATAAGCTTCGTTGTGAAAGATAACATCCTGAAATATGGTCACCATTAATATACGACTCTCTTGATGGATGATGATATTCGATCAAAAAAGAAACTTACGTCCAATTCCTGCTCTGAGATGCTGTAAGAACTGACCAACTCATTAATGAGACAATCCAATCTGTTTAAGAGTGCTGATAAAGCGACGGCCGCTCCCGAGACGGCGCTTCCTTGATGGACCAGAAGCTCTCTGCATTTCGCCTCCAACGCTCTGAATCTTGCCTGAAGCGCCACGTTCTCCTGTCTCCTCTGCTCGCTGATCCTCTTCAGCTGGTTGCACTCGTCTTGTTTGTACTCCAGCTCCTTCTCTTTTTGTGCCATAATCGATTTGTTTCGCTTGTTTTCAAACTCGCTATCCTTGAGCGCTTCGGACAGTGTTGTCTTCTCCATGTGCAGGAACTCTTGAAGTTCTTTGCTCTCTTCCTCCAGCTCCTGGTGTTGCTGCTTCAGAATGCACTGATTCGCCAAACTCTTGTCGAAATCTCTTTGAAGCGCGCGGCAGTACATGTTTAGCTTCGAGATTTCCTCCTCTTGCTTGACGATGATCGAACTGACGTTCTGGAATTGCGATTCCAGTACCATCAAACTGTCCGAATTATTCTCATCTGCAAGTTATTGTTTATTTAACACAATGATATACCAAGTTTTCTACTCTTAAGAATGAGTATTTAAATTAAAAGATAATATATGAACAATTGTTTAATCGGTTTCAAAATGTGAATTACGTTACCTGAATTGTTTTGTCCTAACATAGCTATGACTCTCTCGTTGTTGTTCTTCAGCTCCTCCCTCAGTCCTTCCTTTTCAACTCGTTCCTCTTCCAGCTTCAACTCGTTCTCCTTCAACTGGTTACCCTGCGCCGCGTGCTCTTTACTCAAAGATTCGTACTTTTCTTTCAGAAGATCAAGCTGGTTTTGCAGGGATTCGATTTCGTCCTTGGCGTAATCCACCTGTACCTCTTTGCAGCACTTCTCCACATCTTCGGAGCTTTTCGGCTCGAAATTGATGCCGGCCAAAGCATTCTCGATATCTTGTAGATTCAAAGCCGTCTGTACGCTCGTCTCATGGTAGATTTTAGTTTTAATTACCTGTTTCTTCTTGGGGTAAGGTGGAAGGGTTTTTACAGGAGTGGTGTCACGTGACGGCGTCTTCTTGAGCGTAGCGTAACGGGTAACGCTGTTTTCGCGACTCTTGGCCGCACTTTTACCATGCAAATCTGTAATGTTATCAGCGGAGCGTTCTTTTCTTCTTCTAGGTAAAGTTGCGTACTTGTCGAGTGTGTTGCGGGTATCTGAGATGATGGATGTGGTTGGACGTGGTTTCGGGGATGATTCGAGCGGAAGAACGCCGCGCAAGGAACGGGTCATGGATGTCGCAGGTTTGGTGTAGGAGGATGGCCAACGACCGTCCTCCGTTGGGGTGGTTGAAGGTGTCCTATTTATGGCTTGAACCCTCATCAGGCTGCGTTTCGGTTGCGGAGTTTGCGACGCTAAACCCAAATTATCTGGCTTCGTACGTGTCGTCTTCTGTATAGATTTTGGAGTCTTTGGGAGAGTCCTCTCCGTCGATTTGCTGCGGGTCGTCGGCGTGGCCTTCTGGGTTGGAGGTGGCTTCATTCTGCTCGATGTGGAGGTCAGCCTCTTGTTCTCCAAGATGACCTTCTTCTTGGTTTGACTCGCGTTCGCGCGCTTCGAGATCTTCGTGGATGCCACCGAGCTGCTCTCGCTACCATTCTCACTGGTACCATCCACGTTGCGCAACTTGTAATCATCGAGCAGAGTCGAATTTCTTCGCACCAGAAGGTTGAAAGCTTCATCGTAATTGGAGCAGCAGCTGATTATTGAAGAGTCGCAACTCTGCGCTGAATTTACGAATTCTTGGGAATTCGTGCTCACAGTCCTTTGCAGATTACACGCACTTTCGATCACTTCCACGCCGCTGTCGCTTCCTTCACATGAATTGTTTTTGCATTCTACAGTTTCGATCTTCTCGATGACCGTCGTGTCCACATTGGAGGCGTTGAATGCGTGTATCGTTACGTCCTGGTCACCATCCTCGAGGATGCAGGACACGTTGTTCGTAGCTTCCGCTCCCGGATCAGCCATCAGTGAAGCATTGCAGTCCATCATTAAGCGACAAATCAATAAATCTGGAAAGCGAAAGAAGGACGAAAATTAATATGGAACGACGCAAGGATGGAAATAGAGCACGCACAGAACGCGAAACGCAAGGACGAGTCCAAATATAGATTGATACTCTAATACCGTGACATTTAATCGAAAACCCAATTTATATAATTGCGTCGGAATACAAATAACCACAAACTATAAATACTAATTCATATTTAATTACGAACTTGATGTACTATTTTTATAAATTAAGCCTTATATTCACCAGGTACTATAATTTATATAATCGGAACAAAAGTTTTGATAATAATTAAAAATTTTCATATTTTCGGTATTAAGCAATGAAATATTTTATAATTCTATCAACTAGCTCAATATTTATTATAATGTAAAGACAAGTAAATTCTACTGTTTATATAAATTCATATGAAGATTAAACTTACCCTTGTTAGGTGTTAATATAAAAGTAAATATAAATAGCACACTATCTAGTGTTATCACAGTAATCACTTTTCATTTGGATTTTTAAGATGTGATGATCCTCCAAAAAAAAAATAGAAACCCGTTTTACACAGCAAGTTCAGTTCTTGTGACACTTCGATGCAGAAGTAAGGAGAGATTTTTTTTTTCTTTCGTAATTCCTCCCACTTAATGTGACCAACCGGTGACCAATTCTTCACTAAATTCTTTAAAATTTGTCTTACGTGCTTCGTGCGATACCTGCAAACGGATCGATGGGATTTGCAGTTGAATCCTCGGAAGAGCCTTTACACTCTTTACCGCCTGTACCGCTTACAATGCATTAAAGCCCCTGACCAGGGGGAACCTTTTTTTTTTATTTTCGCAGAACCCTCCCTTCCTTCACTTTACCTTATAGACTTGATTTGCTTACATTACTTTTCATTTGAAATTGAAAGGAAAATCTATATTTGCGAATAAAAATACAATAAAATTATTGTTTACATATATACATATAACAATTTTATTTTGAAAATAAATCAAGAATATCGATTTCGGTTAAAAGTTTGTTGTTCTTAAAGAATTTAACATTGGAGAAATGTAGAAATCCAAATAAATACAATTATTTGTGTTTGTAAGATATTTGCTTCTGTATATTTTTGAAAGTAAGAAGATAAGATTATAAAAGGTATGACTAATAAAATAACGCAGTTATCACACGAGGTATCTGTTCATCTAAAAGTCTTTTTATACATTGTAACTTATATATTGATAGAAATTGACTTAGGAAGATACATATTAAATCTGGCAGAAAACTTCGGTCGATAGTCCTTTTGTAGGAAGGACCAATATTTTTTTTAAATAATTATGGTAAATTTGAATACTATTCAATTTTTTTCAACTCAAAATAAAACTTTGTCAGCTCAAATTTTAATTTGATTTCTATAACTGTTATTTTATCAATTATTTGAAATAATATTTGTTTTATTGATTCTTATGACATGAAATACTTTCAAACTGTGTCATGAAATTAGGACTAAAATAATCAATGTTTCTAAAAAATCTATCAAGGTTTCAATCATATTTTTTAATTAGATCTGAAATGAATTGATGTAAATTTTATTCTATTGAAAGTTCTAATAAAAAAAAACTTGATATAAATCAGTTACAAGCAAAGAGGTGTGAATGAATGTATTATTGTAAGAGCAAAGTAATGGGGTGTTGAAAAACGATTCAGTGTTTCAATTAAACGACAAGGCTACAATCACTTCCAATTAATAAAACCTGGTGCGTTATATCACACCAGTTTATTTATTTCCATCAAGTCGCAACCGAAAAAAAAAACACACACATACAACACAAATAAATAATCAAACAAAATCCTTGGGTTTAAGAAGGAAACGACTGCTACGAACGACCTCAGAGTCGACCCTAATTTACGTAACAGATGCACGCACGCACTGCATCCAGCAACCACACTTTCACTCTTAGACTCGTAGAGGTGCAACCGAATCCTAATTCATTCCTAAATTCGAAAGGCCACCGATTTGCATATACATTTTGATCAATCCGAGAGACGACCTCGTCTATCCATCCACTGCTTGGCAGTACGTTCGTCGTATGCAATCAGAAAATGAAACAGACCATACGAAAATTACGGTGCCCACGAAATTTTCCTGGAAACGAAAACTGCGGTTTATTAACGGAATCCAGAGCGACAGGATGAGAAATCGGCAATAATAATAATGATTCGAACAACATGCACTTAGTCTCTCTCTATATCTTCTTTAATTGCTGCAAGTTTCTTCCTTTTACCTACTTCTTTCATTACGCGTTTTGCTTCATTTTTAATTGCATCGCGACATTTGCTGCCAACTGTAAAATTTGAATTACCGCAACGTTATTGGGTTAATGTCGTTAATTTGCGGTAAACAAATTAATATGTTTTATACTGTATTATTATATAAGCTTACATTACATTAATATAAGTAAGCAATTAAAACGCATTTCCTGTTTTTCATATAGTGTTATATAATTTTTTTATAAAAAAAAATGTTTGTTTTTATATTTATTGATTTATATTCATAACATGGCAGAAATAAACAACGTTTTTCTTGTTATGATTGTATAAAAAATAATCTTAATTATTCTTAAGTCACTGCTTTAGTTAAACAATGCATTTACTGTTATCTTAATTAGTTTAAAACATCTCGGTTAATACAATTGCTTCGTTAATTGCAAACAATACTAATTCGAGATCAACACGTTTTTTTTTCATATATCATCTTATAATTGACAAATTCATTACCATAAAATTAAAAACTAGTCAAAGATTTGATGAATAAAGTTATTTTTTTTACAAATTTATTACAAAAACTAATAGTACATGTATTTATATAAGAAATTATATAAATTAGACTCGATTAGAAAAAATAATTATAGATATGGATGTATTTAATATTTAAATTTACTATTGCATTGTAAATCTATACAGAAATATAATTGGTTTAATTTGTTTTTATCAATTTGTCTGATGTGTAAATTTCTGTAAGTTTTGTATCAGTAAATGTAATAAGTTTTGTATTTATTCCAAATATTACTGATAATAATTATATCATCATTCAGCCATATGGTTTTTCAGACCCAAATTTTGTTTCATATTTTATAAAAATATATGTTAAAAGCAGAATTGTATATAAATATTGTCATTAAAAGTAATAAAAATAGAAGTTTGTTGTAGATCGAATATTTCAAAAACAAAATAAAAGATGGCGCTACAAGCGTGTACCGCTTGACATATTATTAAAGCAACCGATCAATCAAATCTGTTATTTTCAAACAGATGATGCATGTAATCTTTCAATGACAGGAAATACATTTTGTTTTTTATACAATAAATTAGAAAAAAAAATGACTTGAGAAAACTCATTCATTCACAGCTGCAAATCGATGTTTCAAGCAATTTACAAAATTGTTTTATTCAAAGTAATCAAAGTTTCCAAATGCATTTTATTGAAATGTATTGATACAAATGATATGAATACAAGAAAATATTCTCATTTAAGTTTCTGTATTCACTTGACATTTTTAACTGGAAGATACGTAATTACGTTGAAAAGTACTTTATGTCTTTTCGTATAATTATAAATACTGTCAAGTAAAAGAATCAATTAAAACCATTTCTTTATGTAAATAACCGAATAAAATCAATAAATTTTCAATCTTTCAATTAAATTAATTGGGATAGAAAAATATATGTTTCCTTGTAACATTTTTCTATCTCAAAGGAAATTATAAATCATTTTAGTCACGTAATAATGATGAAAAGTAAATACATTTTATGTATTTTCTAATAATTTAATCTAAAAAAAAATAATAATAAAATATATTTTTGTCCTTCTTGAACTTATAATTATTTAAATAACTGCAGTCTGATTAAATTTAACCTTTCAATTAAATCAATTACAAGTAAACATATATTTTTCTATCCTATTAACAATTATTCATTCACTCGATATTTTATTTTTAAGATAGGTAATTATGATTGAAAGTAAATATTTATTATATATTTCCTATCATTAAGTAATTATAAGTAATTTTTGTCCTAATGGAACTTAATACTTCTCTTGATATTTTAAATTGTAATATATCTAATTATGCAAATATTTTATATGTGTTTTCCAGCCTCACTTAAGTAATAATAATTTAAAAAAAGAAACAGATAATTTATAGAAAAAAAAATCAACTGAATTTATTTATATCCTAATGGAACTTCAAGATGCGTAATTATGTAAATAGCTGCAGGTTGAGGTAAAATCGATAAATGCTTAATCTTTCAATTAAATCCGCGTATTCAATTAAAGGTAATTAGAATCCTGGTAGGTCTTTAAAGGAGAGGTCTAATAGGATTATAAATATACACAGTCTAGACACAGAGACAATACTGCACATATATGCATGCAAATTAAATAAAATAATCGAAAATAGACGCCATCGCATAGATTTAGCTTAATTAGCATTAATTAACCGACCTCTATTAATATCTTGTACTGGGAGTGTTCCTTCCTCTCTAACAATCTGCATGCGCCATGATCTGAAATTTAATTAATTACGAAACGTATCTTCGCGATGCTAGGATTAATGTCCTTAGCACATGCACAGAATCCCGCAGAATGTTACGCAACTATTTCGATCGCTGTGGGCGGATTTGACACAGTGAATTCATCTATTCGAAAATTCAATAAATCAAGGAAACAAACCATTTTTTTTTACAAATTTATTTATATAATAATGAAAGGATTTCCCTTCTATTTTTAGATTCGCCCCCGTAACGACCGTAACGCGGTGACCTTCCGTTCGAATTATTAACGCCGTGTCCGAGGAGTTGATTCATGCAAATCCTTTTCGTACCTTCTTTTCCTACATCGATCTTATTTCTTTATTTGTTTTTGTTCACTGCCTAAAGAGGAGATTTCCATTATCCAGCTATTTTTAACTCTGCGAAAAGACATTTGTTTTTTTTCTCTCCAACGGTCACGCCCTCGCAATTATGTAATTACAT